TATTATTATATTATTTGAAATGACTTATACGCTTCTTAAATAGATTTTTAGCGCATCACTTATGAATTGTATAAAAGCTTCGAATTATTTGGAATAAAAGAAGGTATTATTGATGTTGAATTTTTATTTTCCAAGTAAATTTTGTTTGACTTTTATACCTGCATTGCCTTGTATTTTGCGTCATCTTCTGGAAAGAAACTTCAATTTGGGCCGCGTCACAGAAATAGAGGAACTGTAAGATTGGATTTATTATTGCTCATGTGAAAGAGGCTAAAAATCAATATTTAGCTCTTATCTTATAAAATTAGTAATTTTTAATTTTTAATTTTATAATATAATATTTTTAACTCTTTATTTTATAAAATTGATAAATTTTAATCTTTCACCTTATAAAGTTAGTCGGTTTTAACCTCTCACCTTATATTATGATATTTTTAACCCCTCACTTATATGAATAAAAGAAAATAACACTCACATAATATCAAGTTATAATGTTTTGTTAGTTTTATTAACTGATTATTAATATTCATTAACTGACTGTTAACATTCGTTAGTATTTTCTTATATAAAACATGAAATTTAAATTCAATTTTATTTGTTAGTTCTATTAATATAATACTATCAGATGCTAACAGTCAATTAATAAAACTAACAGTCAATTAACAAAATTAACATAACATTATAACTTGATGTTAAGTAAAGATTATTTTCTTCAATTTGTATAAATAAGAGGTTAAAAGTGTCATAATATAAGGTGATGAGTTAAAACTTATCAATTTCATAAGATGAATGGTTAAAACTTAGTAACTTTAGAAAGTAAAAAGTAAAAAGTAAAAAGTATCATATTATAAAATTAGGGATTAAAACCTACTAATTTTGTAAGGTAAGGGGTTAAAGATTAGTTTTAGCCGTGAAAGGGAGGGGAAATATATAGTGGATACCCGATACCGCGTTGCATGACTTGAATTTCATGTTGAATAAGTCAATTTATTTACTGTCACTACAAGACAAAAACTTATCGTCTGCATTTGTTAAGGGAAAATGCAGGTAAAAAAGTTATCAGCATTTAAATAAATGCCACACAAATGCTGGTAGAGGTGGAGCCGGTAAAACTATACCTGTATTTTATATAAATGTTGGTATAAACTTTTTTTTCTCTGCATTTATTAAAAATGCAAGGAAATCACATTAAAAAATACAAGTGAAATCTATGGAAAAGTCCCAAATAACTACTGTTTTTACTTGCTCTTTTTGTCA